TTATTTTTTTTTATTTATTTGAGAGAGGGAATGAGATAGAGAGAGCATGAGAGGGGGAGGGTCAGAGGGAGAAGCAGACTCCCTGCTGAGCAGGGAGCCCGATGCGGGACTCGATCCCGGGACTCCAGGATCATGACCTGAGCCGAAGGCAGTCGCTTAACCAACTGAGCCACTCAGGCTCCCCAAGGCACATTCAAGTTTTTAAGATTATGCTTCTTTAGTAGTTGTTAAGGAAGGAGATAGTTTGGTATGTTTGTACATTAGCCCTGCCTGTCAGTGGTTTTACCAAATCTCCGCCTTGGTTCATCTTCTCTGGGAAGTAGATGCTCCTTCTTTACAAAGGATCCTGAGCATTCCTCTATCTTTAATTTAAATTTTCTTTTTTTTTAAAGTAAGCTTTAGGCCCAACATGAGGCTTGAACTCACTACCCCAAGATCAAGAATCTCATGCTCTACTGACTGAGCCAGCCGGGTGCCCCCTTTCCTCTATCTTGATGTCTGTCACATAATACTGAAATAGTCTCTTTACACATATTCTTCTTTTCCAGTAGATGATGAAATCCTTGCTCCTTGCACAGTGCTTAGTATACAGGCGACATACTAAATGCTCAACTGGGAGTGTAGTTTTTATGGATAATTGACATTCTCTAAATGATTGGTGTAAGAGATTTGAATTTATGAGTTTAATTTGAAATTGGTATTCTTTTAACATACATTAATTAATTATTTAGGTCATATTAATTACATAAATGTTAGCTCTTTTCTCCCATCCAAATTAGAGAATAAAGCTTATTTTGATTGAGAAATAATATTTGTTGACACTGAGTTTGTCTGGTTTTGCCTAGGGATTACTAAATTGCTCTTTGCTTTTCAGGGCCTACATTTATTTTAAGGAAGTTTGAAACTTAAAAAAGGGAAGCATGACAAAACTATTACAGCGATTCTAAAAAAAATGATTCTTTAGTTGAAGGAATGTTGATTTAACAAAGCTTTTTTATGAATTGAGTTACTGTTGGAAGGCTGTAGCTCCCCTCTTTTACTCCTTTTGGGTTAAAAATACATCAATGTTTAACTTCCAGCCCCATGTCATAGTACATTGTGCAGCAGAGAGAAGACCAGATGTTGTTGAAAATCAGCCAGATGCTGCTTCTCAACTTAATGTGGATGCTTCTGGGAATTTAGCAAAGGAAGCAGGTAATGATGACTTTATAAAATCTTTGTAAAACATTAAATAATTGCTGAGTTTATAAAGATTAAAGTTTTCTAGATCACTTATAAGAGATTTGTTTATATATGATGAATAAGCTATTATAAATGCCAGTAGAGTGATGTTCTGTAATAATTTAATAGATTCTTTTCTTTCTTTTATGTCTGTCTTTTTTAGCTTTAATTGGAGCATTTCTAATCTACATTAGCTCAGATTATGTATTTGATGGAACAAATCCACCTTATAGAGAGGAAGACGTACCAAGTCCCCTAAATCTGTATGGCAAAACAAAATTAGAAGGAGAAAAGGCTGTCCTAGAGAACAATTTAGGTAAGACACAATTTCTTTAGCACCTGATAGTTTTGATTGTTTTTATATATATATATGGAGATGATATAGATATATGATATATATGTGGAGATGTATAGATCTAGATATATATATCATATGCTACATATGAAAACTATAAAATTTTGAAAAAATTAGTCAAGGAGCATAAATCATTGGAGAAAAATTAGAGAGTGTAGTTAATAAAAAAGAAAAATAAGAATTTTAGAAATCAAGGGCACCTGGGTGGCTCAGTCGTTAAGCGTCTGCCTTTGGCTCAGGTCATGATGCCAGAGTCCTGGGATCGAGCCCCGTGTTGGGCTCCCTGCTCAGTGGGAAGACTACTTCTCCCTTTCCCACTCCCCCTGCTTGTGTTCCCTCTCTCGCTGTCTTTTTCTCTCTCAAATAAATAAAATCTTTAAAAAAAAAAAGAATTTTAGAAATCATTAAGAATTTATGAATCCTTCCAGACTTTTTCCAGTATCAGTATATATGTGTTTGTCATTATATAAGGGTACCTGGCTGGCTCAGTCAGTAGAGCATGTAACTCTTGATGATCTTGGGGTTGTGAGTTGAATCCTCATATTGGGTGTAGAACTTACATTAAAAAAAAAAAAGTTACTGTATAAAGAAAAGAAATCTTATAGTATAAATATTTGTAATATACTTTGGAAAAACAGGTCCGTATCATTTCTTCTAGATTGAGGTATTTGTTATTTTTTGTACAGTTTTTTTTTTAACAGTTTTTTTTTTTTTTAAGATTTATTTGAGAGAGTGCACACACAGGAGCAAGTGTGGGGTGGGGGGCGAGGGAGAGGGAAGGAGAGTCTTTTTTTTTTTTTTTTAAAGATTTTATTTATTCATTTGAGACACGGAGATACAGAGAGAGAAAGCATGAGCAGGGAGAGAGGCAGAGGGAGAAGCAGGCTCCTTGCTGAGCCAGGAGCCCGATGTGGGGCTTGATCCCACGACCCTGGGATCATGACCTGACCCGAAGGCAGACACTTAACCATCTGAGCCACCTAGGTGCACGCTTTTGTACGGTTTTTAAATTTTTTTTTTTTTTAAAGATAGGGAAAGAGGGAGAGGTTGGGGGGGAGGGACAGCTGGAGAATGAGAGAGAGAATCTCAAGCAGGCCTCATAACCATTGTGGAGCCCAACGCGGGGCTTGATCTCACAACCCTGAGATCATGACCTGAGCCGAAATCCAGAGTCAGACACTTAACCGGCTGAGCCACTCAGGTGCCCGGTTTTTAAATTTCTATTTGTATGGCTCTTCTTTTCCCTATGTGTTTGTGTATACATACACATAAATATATGTGCTAATATAAAATGTATACCCTTATTGAAAAAAATTAAAAAATGAAAATTGTAAAGGGTGGAAGTTCTTTTATAATGCTGCCTCCGAGAAGCACCAGATATGGTGAGGTATGAAAGCATTTTTTGTGAATTGGTAAAAATGGTGGATTTCGTTTTATAACCTGGTCCCCCCCATATTTATTTCAATGCATATTGAGTCATCTCTGGGTTATCTTTTTCCTATCAGTGGCTGCATAGTACTTGATTTAATGATTCCTTGCACTGCCTTACACTATACAGTCTTTGAGAAGCATCCTCTAGTATAGACACCATACTTACAGGCATTTAGATTCCAGGTGTTTTTTTTTTGGTATTATATATTATCCTGCAGGAATCATCCTTGAATACCTATCTATACATATTTTTCCAATGTGTTAATTTAATTAAAAAGTTGTTAATTTTCAGTTAAAGTGTTAATTATCCAAAGTCTGTTGTAACTGCTCAGTAGGGACCAACATAAAATCTGAAAACCCCTAATTCCTTAATCAGTGGTTTCATGAATTATGTGGTGAAACACCTAACTTTATTCACCACTTTTTAATGTGTCATGTGACGTGTGTATTTTTTTTCGCTGAACTTGTTGAGAATTAGTTGAAATTCACCCCAACATACTTCACCATGCTTTAAAAAAAAAAAAAAGATAAAGATTTATTTTATTTATTTATTTATTTATTTATTTATTTATTTAGGGTCGGGGGAGTAACAAAGGGAGAGAATCTTAAGCCCACTTGCACTGAGCAGAGCCCTATGCGGGGCTTGATCTCACAGTCTGAGATCATGACTGAACTGAAACCAAGGGTCAGAGACTCAACAGACTGAGCCACCCAGGTGCCCCTATGCTATTTATCTTCTAACAAGAATGTTCTCTACATAATTACAGTGTAGTTAGCACGCTCAGGAAATTTTTTTTATGTTATGTTAACCACCATACATTACATCATTAGTTTTTGATGTAGTGTTCCATGGTTCATTGTTTGTGTATAACACCCTAACACCCAGTGCTCCATGCAGTATGTGCCCTCTTTAATACCCATCACCAGGCTAACCCATCTCCCCACCCCCTCCCCTCTAGAACCCTCAGTTTGTTTCTCAGAGTCCATAGTCTCTCATGGTTTATTTCCCCCTTCAATTTCTCCCCCTTCATTTTTCCCTTCCTGCTATCTTTTTTTTTTTTTTTAACATATAATGTATTGTTTGTTTCAGAGGTACAGGTAGGTCTGTGATTCAACAGTCTTACACAATTCACAGCGCTCACCTTAGCACATACCCTCCCCAATGTCTATCACTCAGCCACCCATCCCTCCCACCCCCCATCACTCCAGCAACCCTCAGTTTGTTTCCTGAGATTAAGAATTCCTCATATCAGTACACACTCAGGAAATTTAACATTAATGTGATGTTATACTGTATCATCTATGTAGGAATTTTCCCACTTGTCTCAGTAATGTCCTTCACTGCATCTTATTTTTTAATCTGGGATTCAATCAAGGATCACTCATTGCATTTAGTTGTCATGATCAGTTTAATTTCTTCATTATTATGATTGTTAAAAATAATATATAAAAATACCCCAAATGACAAGAGACCTTTAAAAATATTCAGTATGATAGTTGTTAAATGGGCATTATTATAGGTGAACTATGTCATCTAAAATCCCTTTGGGTTTTTAGATGTCATTTTTGGTATACTGCAAGTTTTCTACAACAGTATTTTTTTTTAAAGATTTTATTTATTTGAGAGAGAGAGAGAGTGCGCACATGAGCACAAGCATGGGGAACAGCAGAAGGAGAGGGAGAAGCAGGTTCCCTGCTAAGCAGGGACCCTGTGTTGTGGTTCGATCCCAGCGTGCTGGGATCATGACCTGAGCCTAAGGCAGACGCTTAACCGAGTGAGCCACCCAGGCGCCCCCTATAACAGTATTATTTAAATCCACATACTTTCATTTTATATCAAGACTTCAGAACCAGTCAGCTTTAAAAAATTACCTGTTTTTATTAATTCCTAGGAGCTGCTGTTTTGAGAATTCCTGTTCTGTATGGAGAAGTTGAAAAGCTTGAAGAAAGTGCTGTGACTGTTATGTTTGATAAAGTGCAGTTCAGTAACAAGTCAGCTAACATGGACCACTGGCAGCAGAGGTTCCCCACACATGTCAAAGATGTAGCCACTGTGTGTCGCCAGTTAGCAGAGAAGAGAATGCTGGTGAGATCTTTGGAAGGAAGACTTCCTAACTTCCCTCCACAAGTGAAAGTCAAAGTGTTTTTGTTTCTTTATTATTATATGTAATAATATATATCTTTATAATAATATAAATAAATACAGATTTTTGTTTAAAGTTTTTTTAAAACTACAAGGTGACCAAACAAAAGTAGTGTGCAGATAGTAGGCTATATTTATGAATAGTAAAAATATTATGCTCTTGTGTTTGAATTTTTTTCTCATATACTCTGGACCCCGTCTGTCATTCTTTTATTGCAAGATGACTAAAATCTTGTATTTTTTCTTTGGATGACAAAATAATGTCTTTAAGAAATTATTCTGTTTAAGATTTATGTAGTGCCAACGAAGACTCTCCATAGGAATTTTTAATTTCAGCCGTTTTAAGAATGATTTGTAATTTTTTTTTAGATATTGAAATAGTTAATATCAGACATTTGAAAAGGTTGTGACTAACTAGAATATTAATAGAAAGATGAGAGACTGATTTATTTTAGAATGTTAATAATAGGTTGTCCATAGTTTTTAACACATAAAAATTTATGTTTTAAATATGTACTATGGAACTATTTAAGGATGTCATGCCTAATTAGCTCATACTGCAGAATGGTTCTATTATGTTTTGGTTTTATTAGTATAATTAAAAATATTCATTAAATTGGCCTGTGTTTCCATAAAAGTCTGTACTCATTCTTAGGATTCCCACTAAAAATTTGGAGCCACTTATATTTTTATTAAAAAAAAAATTCTTAAGCCTAAATTCTAGAAATTGCTTCTTAGGTTTAGCTGGATATACTTATAGGAATTTGATTTTAGATATCCCATGGGGAGCATTCCAGAAAGGAGGGATGCATTTTGATTCCTGGACTTTTACATTAGCTTTTTTTGGTTGTTTATTCCACTCAATTCAAAAAGTTAAAACTATTTTGAATTTTTATGTCTTTATTAGGATCCATCAATTAAGGGAACCTTTCACTGGTCTGGCAACGAACAGATGACTAAGTATGAAATGGCATGTGCAATTGCAGATGCCTTCAACCTTCCCAGCAGTCACTTAAGACCTGTAAGTACATGGTGTTTAAAACCTCACTTGTTGAAAGCCCAGATCTGTCACTATAGTATGTATTACTGATAAAACTTCCTTGTTGCTTTGAAAATATTGGATAACTTCATTTTTTGGTACTAATTAAAGTGAACTTTGTATGTTGGCGGTTTATATTGTTACTTATCTCTAAATTATCGTTTATAAGGAAGCCCATGAGTATTGGTGAAGTTTATAGGAAAAGTACTGTCTTGATAATTTATTTGTGTATTTTTCCAGTGATCAAATCAGATTTTCAGTGAACGGCAAAGTGAAATAGAGATTATAAAACTGCAACATAGGCTTTTCATTTATTTTTAAATTTTTTGTTTTTATTTTTCTTTAAAGATAACTGACCGTCCTGTCGTAGGAGCACAACGTCCAAGAAATGCTCAGCTTGACTGCACCAAATTAGAGACCTTGGGCATTGGCCAGAGAACACCATTTCGAATTGGAATCAAAGAATCACTCTGGCCTTTCCTCATTGACAAGAGATGGAGACAAACAGTCTTTCATTAGTGTATGTGCAGTTTGTTTTTTTTTTTTAATTGAGAAGTATAGTATGTGGCACTTTTTAAAGAAAAAAGGAAATAGTTTTGTATGAGTGCTCTTTAATTGTGACTCATGATCTTTCAGGTAAACTATGCTCTTGCACTAGTGAAATTGTCTAAAGAAACTAAGGGCAATGATGCCTCATTTGAAGTAATGATTTTTCTTTTTATCCTTTTGTTCTGGCTTAATTTTGTTTTGAGTATAGTGAATTATGATTCTTAAATATTTACGAGCCAGGATGAGACAGATCTACTGTAGACTTTTTTTTGGATGAAATGCATTATTCATTCCTATAACCTCTACATTTTCAGGACTTTTGCAACTGTTGACCTTTTTATGTTTTAAAGTGAGTTAAGTAGTATGAAAATCATTGGTGTTCATTATTTGCATTGCTTGAGCTCTGATCAAAATGTTTGAAGAAAGAAACTTTATTTTTGCAACTTATGTGCAGTTTTTAAGCTTGAGATATTTCAACGTGTTACATATATTGGAACTCCTGTAGCTTGATGCCTCCTGCTTTTGTAGCAGTGTATGGTGAGCACTTGACAGAGAGAGTATATGTGTATGTGTATGTGTTTTTTTAATATGTGTAAAACTGTCCTTTTCACTCCATGTCACTAAGTGATATTTCATATCTGTGGTTATACTAATAATGATGGGCCTTATAAGTCTTTTGGCCATTCAAAAATAATAATAAATATGTACTGCTGGCATGGTAATGCTTAGTTTTCTTTTATTTACTTTTTAAATGTAAGGACCAAACATCTAAACTGGTATTTTGTTGCTTTTCTTTTTAAAAATTATATTCTTATGTTACATCTGATGCCTATAAGAAAATATAGTTAATATCTCTTGAGATATAAATAATAAAATGAACCCTGATGAACTCTACTTGAGACCTAGAATGTTACAGATACTGTATCTACCTGTGCCAACTGTGTGTTTTTTAACTAAAAATAACTATGTAATCTTGCTACATATTTACATTGAATGTTCCTTCTGAAGAATGCAGAGTATTTGAATGTATTATATCTATACAGAGTAACATTCAGGTGACCTTAGCCTCAAGGATATTTTTGGTCCTTAATAAGGAATCAGCATGGTGAAATGAAGTGTATGACTTGGCTTCTATTCAGGGGTCAGTGTGAACCCTGGTTTTAGGTTTTCTGATTTCACTTCTGGGGTATCCTTTCCCTAGCTTATGATTTTATCCTCCATTGGACAAAAAGTATTTGTTTCTAAGTTCCTAATTTACTTAGAGTTTTAGGTTTAGAGAGAATCAGGTTTGGGTGATTTGTTTAAAGCACCAATTCCCAAACCATGTTATATTTTATAATTAAGGAAATTTTAGTGGTACCTTGACCCCTAACCTGGACTCACTGAAATAGGATTTCTGGAATTGAGACCTGCTAATCTAGTTTTAAATTTTCCCTGGATGCTTCCAAAGTAGACAGCCTGGTACTTGGATTTGGCAACCACTGGATTAAAGCTTTTTCTTTTTTTTTTTTTAAGTTACTTCCTTGCACATAGTACAAAATTGAAGTTTCAGAGTGAAAAACCTTTCTCATTCTTCTCTAGCTACTGATTTTCCATCTGTGGAAGAAAACAATGTAGATCAGATCCTAGTTTGTTTCTGCAGGCACTCTGTATAGTAAGAATACACTCATTATATATGTGTGTGGGCATACATGTATGTCACCATCCCTTCTTTATACAAATAGTATAATATACATTTTTCTGTACTTTTAAAAAATTTAATATACCTTAGAGTTTATTCTATATTAGTTATAATGAATGTCTATATTCTTTTTTTTTTTTTGCTATTCACTTTGAAATTTCAATCTTTTTTTTTTTTTAAGATTTTATTTTTAAGTAATCTCTACATCCAACATGGGGCTCGAACTCACAACCCCGAGATCAAGAGTCGCATGCTCCACGAACTGAGCCAGCTGGGGCCTCTGAAATTTCAATCTGAACAGAAAAGTTGTCATAATAGCAGAAGAATGTCTGTATTCCCCCTTCCCATATTTCCCAGTTATCAACATTTAGCCACATTTATCCTATCATTTTCTCTTCCTCTTTACATACGCTCACACAAAGTATGGTTTTTTTTGTGAGCTATTTAAGAGTAGGTTGCAGACCTAATTCCTAATCACTCACCTACTATATAAGCCTCGGTGTATAATTTCTAAAAATCGGGATGCTCTTCCACATGACCCCATAATAACCATCAGAATCAAGAAATTAACATTGATACAATATCCAGTCCATAGACCCTCTTCACATAAGTTGTGCCAGTAACGACCTTTATTAAGTCTTCCCAGTCCAGGATTACTCATGGCATTTCTTATCATTTTGCTTCAGCTTCAACCTGCAACAGTTATTCAGTGTTGTTTTCTTGTTCGTGATCTTGACTTTTCTGACCTCTCTCTATAAAAGAAACATTCACATTGACACTTACAATGCCAGTATTGCTCCATTCTTTTCTGTGTCGCTCCATTCTCTGTCAGTGAGAAATCTAGCTCCCATTATTCTTAATATGCTTACTAATTGGCTCAAGTCATCTCTAAGAACCATTCTGATCAGAGTTTTCCTCCTACCCTCATTACAGACCTCCATGAGCCAGTTGAGCATCCCTGACCCCTGGGCCATGGCCCTGATGACAGTGACCGTGTCAGTCACTGTACCTAGTTGAGGCCACCAGCCCATGCGGTGTACTGCACCAACAGCCACAGAAGCTACCACATACCTACTTGCAGAGCACCAAAGAGAAGACACTAGGTATTCTTTCATGTAGTATATATTCCATTGTGTCAGTGAATGAACCCCAATTTATTAGTCTTTTAATGATGTACTTCAGGTTGTGTGGCATTTTAGAGCACGCTTTTAATGAGCCCAATGTATAAAACATTCAAGTTTGTGAGACTTTCTCATCTACTGTGTATCCACAGATTATACCTAAAATCTCACAGGTATATATTCCACAGGTCCTGGATGTATCAGTCTGTGGTGTAAGAATGAATTTAGGAAAAAGTCATTACCAAAATAGGAAAAGAGCTTGATCTGTAGACCTGAATGTATGAAGTATAGAATGTATATTAAATATTTCTCTATTTTTGTTAATATGTTTAAACCACTGTCTTATGTAGTTAAAGGTGTTTGATTATTTGGGGTTTTAATACAAAATAGTAATCATTTCAGCCACTTTCAGAAGGAAATAGGAAACATTCCACTGTCCAATAAAACCTTTGGGAGAAATTACTGTTGGAGTCTAAATTCTATCTCTGCAAACCAAATCCTATCATTAGCAGTAAATAAGGCAGCAGATTTTAATTCAACTGTGTAAATTAATCAAGAGAGAATTTTCTGGCTTGAGGGCAGTATTATGTATAGCGATTAAGAAACAATCAAATCTGGATTCAGATGTGGTTCCACCACTTGCTTCTGGCAAGTTATTTTTCCTTTGAGTTTCAGTTTCTTTTTAGGGTTAAGTGGGAGTAATACTATTTCACAGGTCTGTTGTGGAAATGCCGAGAGCAGAGAGGATTAGCCAAAAGTAGCAGTGGACTTACCAAGTGCCTTGGGGAAGGGCTTGGGGAGGTGTGTGGAGGAGCCTGTGCTTAAACCCTCTATGGCTAGCTGCACTTTCTGACATAAGACAATGGGAGTTTTCCTCCGTAAGTAGGATTACAAACGGGTTTTTTTCTTCATGATTTTTTAAATATTTTCCGAATTTTCTACAGTGAGCATACGTTTAATATTTTGGAAGTAAAAGATTTGTATTTATTTATTAGAGAGTGCAAGTGGGGAGGAACAGGGAGAGGGGCAAGTGGGGAGGAACAGAGGGAGAGGGGTAAGTTGACTCTGCGCTGACTCCCACAACCCTGAGACCATGACCCCAGCTGAAATCAAGATTCGGACACTTAACTGACTGAACCACCACCAGGAGCCCTTAAAACATTTTAAAGAGGGGATGCCTGGGTGGCTCAGTCAATTAAACGTCTGCCTTTGGTTCAGGTCATGATCCCAAGGGTCCTGGGGTTGAGTTCTGCACTGGGTTCCTTGCTCAGCAGGGGAGCCTGCTTCTCCCTCTCCCTACTTGTGCCCTCTCACTCTCTCTGGCAAATAAATAAAATCTTTAAAAAAAAAAAAGATTTTAAAGAGGATAGATTATTCTTGTAACCTCTTTAGCCTAACTGCCTTGCTTCTGAGGTTCTGTATTTTGCCACGAAAATGGCAAAATACTTGAATTTATATGTACCTAATTGTATCTCTGGAAATTGGATGTTAAAATTCCTGTATTTGCATTGATTTAATTTATTTTTTTTTTAATTTTTATTTTTTTTAAGTAGGCTCTACACCCAACGTGGGGCTTGAACTCAACGACCCTCAGACCAAGACTTGAATGCTCCACCGACTGAGTCAGCTGGGGGTCTCCCCCCACCCTTTTTTTAAATATTGTTGTAGGGCTTTTTTGTTTTTGTTTTTGTTTTTGTTTTAGCAATGATTTAATATCAAAAGATGGCCATGAAATTGCTTAGCTCATTCCCACAATTGTTTTGTTTTCTGTGGACCCCATCTTCATTCTGATTTTTGACAACATTGAACAATTTCAATTTTTCCCCACTTTGTTATGGAACTTAAAAAAATGTTGCCTTTGAAATGTGAACTTGTTATAGAAGTTTCAAAAAGTTTTTTTTTAAGTTTATGTAAGTAATGTCTATACCCAACGTGGGGCTTGAACTCATGATCCCCAAGATCAAGAGTCACATGCTCTTTTGACTGAGGCAGGAAGGCTCCCCGGTTTCAAAATGTTTTAATGTGAGATGCCAGAAGTTATCCAGGGTAAGTCAAACACTTGGGCATGTTGGAAGGCTAGGAATAATTTTTTATTCTCACCCCCAGGCTTTATGTGCTTAGTACCGATTAGGTTGTTGGATAGTTGAATTGAAAGAATTATGAGGGTTCTGGCCTTCAGAAATGTTCTTTTATCGTTAGAATTAACCCTGAAACTATAGGACAAGGATGGATGATAGAAAAAATACATGCTGTGTGAGATAACACCATAGGAAACAGTGCCATTGTCTGCCTGGTTTGATTATGTGTCCCTCAGCAGCATGAGGGATAATCCTCTTTAATAATGTCAACCTCAAAACATTCCTAAGTTCTCTTAGTGATTCCTTGCAGATCCATCACCCATGATCCACTTAAGTCACCTAAACCAAGTTAACAACTGTCTCTGGCTACAGATGAGCTTAGCAGGCCCAGGTTACTTATTTAAAATCTGGAAGGGTTAAGAAATCTAGATGTGAACTCTAGTGAGAAAATTGGTTTCATCCCAATCTTGGAAGTAAAAAAAAAATGTTTTTAATTGTGATGTCATACATAACAAAAGTACATAAGATGTATATACAGTTTAAAGGTAATGATAAACACCATGTACTTGTACCATGTACAACAACTCAGGTTAAGAAATAGAACATTATGGGTACCTTAGAAGCTCTCTATACAGTAGTCTCCCCTTATCCGCGGTTTCGTTTTCTGTGGTTTCAGTTACCTGCGGTCATCTGCAGTCCGGAAGCAGACGATCCTCCTGACGTATCGTCAGAAGGACAGTAAGTAGCCTAATGCTACATCACAATGCCTACATCATTTACTTCACTTCTCATCACATAGGCATTTTCTTATCTTATATCGTCATAAGAAGGGTGAGTACAAT